AAAGATCTGGAGGCAGAATTGGCTGCATTGAATGGACAAATGGCCTCGCTGAGGGCGGAGGGTGCGAGTCGGCGTTCTCAGCCTTCTACATCTCGTGCCTCAACCGACCTGGTCGTGCCCCACCGTTTGTATGAGTTGTGGGTCCTTGCGGAGGCTCAACTTGACGTGTATAAGGCTTTTCATGCCGAGGGAAGGGCTACTGAGGCGGAGGTTCAGGCTGTACACGCCGAGGCTCGTGCAGCTCGTGAGGCATGCGGGTACGACCCCCTCACACTTGACAGGGATGAAATCAACTCCGAGGATGCTAACCGCCTTGCTTCAGATTCGTGGTACGAGGATGCTTATCCCGCTGGGGATGATGTGTAGTTGTAGTTTGTATTTGCTTTTGTGTGAGGGGTTTTTTGCATGGGGCCTAGTCGAACCCGTTCTCAGTGTAAATAATTTTTTGTTGTCATATATAAGATTTACTTCGTCGACTTGTTATTGTATTTATTGAACCCATGATACTGTTGACACCCTTGGTTATCAGGATGTTGCTTCGAACTGTCATCGAACTAGACTCCCTTTGTAGTTCGAACGAGATGATTGTCATTGATGGCCTTGGCCATTGGGATGTTGCTTCGAAATATCGTCGAAGTAGCATTCCGTCGTGGTTCAAACGAGGTCGAGCTTAAATTATCGTCGATGGCCTTGGCCATTGGGATATTGCTTCGATCTGTCGTCGAAGTAGAATCCCGCGTGGTTCGAGCGAGGTCGAACTTAAATTATCGTCGATGGCCTTGTCCATTGGGATGTTGCTTCGATCTGTCATCGAAGTAGAATCCCGTCGTGGTTTGAACGAGGTCGAACTTAAATTATCGTCGATGGCCTTGGCCATTGGGATGTTGCTTCAATCTATCGTCGAAGTAGAATCCCGTCGTGGTTCGAATGAGGTCGAACTTAAATTATCATCGATGGACTTGGCCATTGGGATGTTACTTCGATCTGTCGTCGAAGTAGAATCCCGTCGTGGTTCGAACGATGTCGAACTTAAATTATCGTCGATGGCCTTGGCCATTGGGATGTTGCTTCGATCTGTCATCGAAGTAGAATCTCGTCATAGTTCGAGCGAGGTCAAACTTAAATCTTTGGAGACGGTTGTATTCCCATAGGAAGGCATCGCATGTCGACTAGTGGAGATCTAGTTCCGTACATACAATGGAGATTTGATTCCGTACATATGATGGAGATTTGATTCCGTACATACAATAGAGATTTGATTCCGTACATATGATGGAGATTTGATTCCGTACATACAATAGAGATTTGATTCCGTACATACAATGGAGATTTGATTGTCGTCTATATGTAGTCCCTTCATTACTTCGATCTGGAGGTCGCATCGACGGGTTGAGGTAATGAATCAGCATGTCGCCCCTTAAGGTGTCCCCCTTGCCGCCTCGTTAAAACCCTTCCCGGGAAAACCCAACTGGGACAAAACCCGGGTGAGGAAAAAAGAGCACGACTTAGGTGACACCTTTTTTAGAAGTGGAAATACTTGAGATGGGTGACGTTCCAGTTGTTTTGGAGTAGTTTTCCCTCCATTGTTTCTAGCTGGAACGCTCCTTTGTTTGCTGCTGCTACGATTTTATATAGTCTGTCCCAGTTCGTTCCCAATTTTCCCTCATTAGGGTCCTTTGATGCTTGTGTTTTGGCCTTGAGGACGTAGTCGCCAACTTTGAGCGGTCGCACCTTGGCTCTTTTGTTGTAGTATCTCTCTACTTGCTGCTTCTGGGCCACCATTCTTATGTGGGCCATGTCTCTTCGTTCTTCGACTTCATCTAGGTCTTGTAGCCTACCTTTGTCGTTATCTTCCCCACTCTCATTGGAGTATCTCAAGCTGGGCTCCCCAACCTCGACGGGTATAACTGCGTCGGTCCCGTAGACCAGTGAGTATGGAATTTTTCACGTGCTGGATTTTGGCGTAGTGCGGTATGCCCATAATACTTCAGGTAGTAGTTCAGGCCATAGCCCTTTAGCTTCCTCGAGCTTCTTTTTCAATATGTTTAGTGTCATTTTGTTGGACGATTCGGCTTGGCCGTTGGCGGCATGATGATACGACGTGGAGAGTAGTCATTTGATGTGCCATTTTTCGAAGAACTCAGTCGCTTTTTTTCCGACGAACTGAGGTCCGTTGTCGCAGCTGATTTCCTTGGGGATGCCGAAATGGCATATAATATTTTTCCATATAAATCCGATGACCTCCTGTTCACGTATCTGAGTGTATGCACCTGCTTCCACCCATTTAGAGAAATAGTCAGTTAAAACCAAAAGGAAATGTACTTTACCTCGCCCTGCTAGGAGGGGCCGACTATGTCCATTCCCTATTTTATGAATAGCCATAGCGAGTGATGGAATGGAGGAGTTCCCCTGCTTGATGTATCATAGGGGCGTACTTTTGACACTGCTCGCACCTTCGGACATAGTCTGCGGCTTCTTTTTTCATGGTAGGCCAGTAGTAACCAGCGTGAATGAGACATCGAACGAGGGCGCGATTTCCCCTGTGGGCTTCGCAGTGCCCTTCGTGTACTTCTTCCAGTACTCGCCTTGTTTGATGTGGTCCAAGACACTTGGCTAGGGGGTTGCCGAACGTTCTCTTATAGAGATCATGGTTTACTAGGCTGTATCGGGCTGCCTGTACCCAGAGTTTCTTGGCTTTTTTTTTGTCTTGTGGTAGCGATCCGTCCTGTAAATAGGCTACAAAGTGGTTACTCTAGTCCCAAGTTAGGTTTATAGACTGTACCTCGACGTGGTCTATTGCGGAGTGGAGAAGGGTGACCACATTTTCTTTGCCAATATTTTTGGTGGCCGCGGCTAATTTGGCGAAGCCATCTGCTTCAATATTCTGCGCCCTAGATATCTGGTCGAGGCGGCATTCATCGAACTCTGGCAGCAGTTTTTGGATTTCCAATTGGTACCTTTGTAGTCTCTGCTCTTTGATTTGGAAAGTCCCGGTAACTTGATTCACAACGAGTTGAGAGTCGCAGTGGAGGATGAGCTGTCGGGCGCCGTATTTGAGGGCTAACTTCAAACCTGCAATCACAGCCTCATACTCGGCCTCGTTGTTAGTCATCTCGGGGAATCATATGGAGTGGCGAATTACTTCGCCTGTAGGGACTTTCCGGATGAGTCCCAGTCCCGATCCCGAGGCATTTGAGGCGCCATCGGTGTAGAAGACCCAGAGGTCGGTACGTGTGGAAGCACGAAGGGCTTCTTGTTTTGCCTCGGGCAATATTTTCACGCTGAAGTCAGCGACGAAGTCGGCGAGCACTTGTGACTTGATGGCAGTTCATTGTTGGTATGTTATGTCGTGCTCGCTTAACTCTATGGCCCATTTGGCGAGTCTACCTGAGAGTTCGGGTTTGTGCAGGATACCTCTTAGAGGGAAAGTTGTTACCACTTTTATGGGGTGACATTGAAAATAGGGTCTAAGCTTGCGTGAAGCTACGACTAATGCCAGAGCTATCTTTTCAAGGTGAGGGTACCTTGTCTTGGAATCTATTAAAGTTTTGCTGATATAGTAAATTGGAGACTGCGTACCTTTGTTTTCGCAGACCAAGACTGCACTTACTGCAACTCCCGAAACTGCCAAATACAAGAGCAGACACTCACCCGGATCCGCTTTGATGAGTAGTGACGGCGAAGACAGATACGCTTTCAACTTCCTTAAGGCATCGACACATTCCTCATTCTATTGTAACCCGTGGTCTTTTCTTAGCACATTGAAGAATTTGTTGCATCTGTCCGAGGACCGTGAAATGAACCTCGACAAAGCGGCTATTCGCCATGTTAGCTTTTGTACCTATTTTTTGCTGGTCAGTACTTCTGGTATTGTGTCAATGGCTTTGATTTGATCCAGGTTGACTTCGATTCCCCTTTGTGATACGAGGAAGCTGAGGAATTTTCCCAAGGTTACGCCGAAAGTGCACTTCTCGGGATTTAGTTTCATCCCGTACTGCCTTAATATTTCAAAGGCCTCTTTCAGATGGCTAATGTGATCCTCTTTCTTTGCTTTACCAGCATCTCGTCAATGTACACCTCCATGGTCTTGCCGAGTTGTTCTTTGAACATTTTGGTGACTAGCCTCTGGTACGTGGCCCCTGCATTCTTGAGTCCGAACAACATTACTTTATAGCACTACGTTCCTTGGTGAGTGATGAAAGTCGTCTTTTCTTGATCCTCTTCAGCCATTAGAATTTGATTGTAACCGGAGTAGGCGTCCAAGAAGCTCAGCAACTCGTGCCCCGCTGTCGCATCGATCAGTTGATCGATATGGGGTAACGGGAAGGAATCCTTTGGGCATGCTTTGTTTAGATCGGTGAAGTCTATGCACATTCGCCATTTCCCGTTCTTCTTTTTGACCATGACCACGTTGGCGACCCATTAGGGGTATTTTGATTCTCTGATGGAACCGTTGACAAGCAATTTATCTACCTCTTCGCTGACTGCCTCGTTGATTGCAGCATTGAACTTCCTCCTTATTTACCGTACCGACGGATAGAGTGGGTTGACATTCAGTCTATGAGTGGCGATGTCCTTTGGGATTCCTGGCATATCTGAATGGGCGAAGGCAAACAAATCAGCGTTGTTAGTTAAAAATTTACGATATTTACTTGGCTCCGAGAGGTTGTGCCCAATGTAAGCCTGTTTTGTGTTGTCGGCGTCGTCCAATCGGACGGGGTCAAGCTCCTCTATAGTTGCCTTGCAGGCTTCTACAATGTCTGGGTCTTTGATGGCCTCTATTTGTGAGTCGGGTCTATTTCCCGACATGGATGATTGATATGCTTCCGCACTTGCACCTTTCAATTGTTTGGTGTGTGTGCAATCTTGGGCGATCCGATAGCATTCTTGGGCGGTGCGTGGCTCGCCTCGGATGCTGAACATTCCCCACGGAGTGGGAAATTTGATCACTTGATAGAAGCTTGAGAGGACAGCTCGCATGGCGTCTATCCATGGTCGCCCTATGATGGCGTTTTAAGTTGTTTCCTGTTCATGACATGGAATATTATTTCCAGTGTCACTCCTCCTGCTAGGACAGGTAACACTATTTCTCCGAATGTCCGCTCTACTGCATTATTACAACCCGTTAGTGTTATGCAACGCGGTATTATTTTATCCTCAAGCCTCATTTGCATGAGAACTCGCGGGTGAACAATACACGCGCCGCTTCCGTCATCCACCATGATTCTTTTTACATCTATATCAGCGAAGCGTAAAATAATAACCAAAGCATCATAGTGAGGGAAAGACAAATCGTCGGCATCTGAATTATCGAAGATGATACTGTCTTTGAGGTCATCATACCATTCGTGAGCGACCGTCTGATTGAGTTTATAGGTGGTGGTGAATTTCACATGGTTAATTACCGTGTCGTCGCCACTGCCAATGATCATCTGTATGGTGCGTGCTGGCGACGGTGGCTTTGGAGGTCCCTGAGATGGATCGCGTCCTCTGGCGAAGTTGGCCCTCCCTTTATCGCTGAGCAGTTCTTTTAGGTACCCCTGGTTCAACATCCTAACTACTTCTTGCTGCAGACCTATGCAATCTTCGGTCTTGTCTTCTCTTTCTTGGTGGAATTCACAGAGGACATTTGACCTCCTGGTGCATGGGTCCGATTTCATTTTTTTGCGGCCACTGCACCTTCGTGCCCAGATTCTCCAGTGAGTACACTATCTCTGAGGGGGAAACACAAAAGTTATAAGCAGATACTTTCATTTTGGAGGGGTGCAATATGTCGTAGCGCATCATCTGCATGTCGTGGAGGAGGCGGGTTGGATGTTCGGACATAGGGCAGATGCCTTTCTCGATTGAAATGTGGTGGTTGATCTCTTCGCCCATTGTTGCGTCGATCTCTTCTTTCCTCGGTCTGAACTGATGTTAATCGCTGAATCAGGTTGTTCAGATCGTCCTCATCTGCCCTTACCTCAGTGCAATAGGCGTTGTGGATCTCTTCCCACGTGGTAGGGGGATACTTCATGAGTCTACTGAGCAATTTTTTGGTTGCCTTTGATCCGTTCCTGTTTAACCCATTTTGAAAGGCTGCTACTGCCATCCTTTCTGACACGTTCTGTAGGCTCATCCTTACTATGACACGTTCTGTAGGCTCATCCTTACTCTGTTGAATCAGGCGAGAAAATCCTAAAGTCTCTCACCCATCGTTTTCATGACAGCGAAAATATCGTTGACCCTAGCTTCAGCCTTCTTCGCCCATGCATGAGCGGTGGCGAATTTATCCGCCATTTCTTCGAACATCGATATCGATCGTGCTGGTAGCTGGGAGTACCATGTCAATGCTCCCCCTGTCAAGGTCTCACCGAACTTTTTCAGCAGCACAGATAGTACCTGTTCTTTTGATATATTGTTGCCCTTTACCGCAATAACATAATGGATTAGGTGATCCTCCGGGTCCGTAGTCCCGTCGTATATTTTCAAGTATGGCGGCATCTTGAAGGTTTTTGGAATAGGATGAGGAGCAGCCCCTTCGCTGTATGGCTGTACGACGAATCGGCCCATGTCGCGTTTTAATAACAGCTTCGGGGCACCTGGTATTTTGTTGACTCTCTCCTGATGCTCCTTCATTTGGTCGCGGAGTGTTTTATTCTCATTTTCCATGTCTTCCATTTTCTTCAAGATGGCCATGAGTGCATCGTGGCCTTCATTAGTAATAGTACGGGTGTTACCCGCTCGTGTGGTGCCTAGTTCATCGTCGGCAGCTGTGATTTCTGCAGGTGGCACGTCTTCGACATTTCCTTGAGTGGGTTTCTCGAGCATGTTGCTCAAAGCACTCGTTAGCCATTCTTCTAGTAGTCTTTTGACTGCTGGTGGGGCTTCCCCCGCCGTGGATGTTGAGGTTACCCTTTCGCATAAGATCGTTAGATCTCCGTGTGGTAGAGGCGAGATCTCTCCCTCTGGTGTATCGCTTGGTGTTGCGTTCTCATTATCTTCTCTACCGGCTTCGTTGAGGGAGTTCAGGAGATTATTCGAGACATCTGCGATCGTCTTTAGCCTCATTTCCTTTCTCACCGTTGTTGGTTTATACGAAGTTCGAAGATAAGCGAATATCACCTTCAGGGATCTAGATGAGAACTATGGTTTCGGCTATAGAAATCCCCACAGATGGCGCCAAATTGTTTGACTCAAAAGATGTTAAGATGTATTCGAGTAAATCAATCAAAGATGAGAGGGTAAATCGTAGCCGAATATAATAATCTCTAGAACGATAATGAATAAAGAGAAGAGAGCAATAAGTTTTCTTTTCTTTCAAGGTTTTTTAATTTCCCAGAATCCCCTTTACAAGGTCCTTCTTTCCCCGTTATATACTAGGGAGAAAACCCTTCTGAAATGTAGGAAATACAATATAAGGAATATTCGGCGGAATATTCTTAATGTCCCCTAATAAGCTTACATTCTTACAAGGGTCGTACAACTTCTATTTTTGCCTCAAGATCATCTCCCTCGGAATGCTGACTCGTCAGTACTCGGTCATTGGTCGCACTCATCAAAAGGCTAAGGTCAGTCAAATTTGGACCCATGCAGTCACTCCTTTCCAGTTATTAATTAGCAACATAATTGCTAATAAACGTATAACTTGGAGTATCTCCTTCATTGTAAATTATGAAAGTATTACTCCAGTTCTGAGTCTATTCTTTGATTTCTTCTTCCTCCAATATAATCATAAGTTTACCATCAATTATTTGAGGGGGAATGAAATCAAGGGGCATACCATGTGTAGCAACACGATTATGTGTGAACAGCCCAGCCTAGGATTTCTTCTCGTTTATCTAGTCGCCTTGGTCCTGTTCCCAAGGGGGCCCCAATTTTTGTTTCCCAATTTTTATTTGATGTCCGATATTTAATTTGGGATATTGATTAATTTAAATTTGTACCGTGTAAAGTCCATTAGAGTGAGAATTGTTCCACCACAGGTTTTCATCATTGCAACAAGTATATTGAAACATCAAAAAATTCTTTTAATACAAAGTTATCAACTTCTTGAATCATCTCATATTACTTAAGATCATACTGCACATGAGACACTAAATGATTTATGCGAAAAAGTTTAAGTAATTTTATTCTAAAAAAACTAGAAAAATCTACTTCAACTAAAAATATATATGATTTTTTTAAAAGGGCCTCACATTAAAGTTTGGCTTTAGGGCAATAAACTTATTGAGCCGCCCATGCCTGTTCCATTGGTGCAACCATAGTTGGTGGTTCATGCATATTCTCCATTTTCGCCTCCAATGGCTCTGTTGTACTCTTCACTGCTGTGTTCAAATGAGATCCTGTTGATTCAGCATGAACTATCGGAACCCCAGGGCTCATGGTCATTGAGATTGGAGCTTTTCATTTTAACTTCACAATAGTTTTCAGTCACCGGTGTGGTAGTAATTCGAGTCTCCGATCTGTTTTCTAGTAGCTTTCATGTTCGTCCTTGACCTCTCTTTGCCATGGAAATGGTTCACTAGCGCATGTTAGCAGGAAGAGCTAAGAGTACGCCTCTAATCGACATGCTTTACTTATACTTCAGGTATCTAATAGGTACCTTCCTTAGCTAAGGTGTCCAAATAAAAATTATGACCAGCCTATGTATGGATTCAACCTTTAATAATATATAATATTTTGGAACTTTGAATTAAACTACTTCAATATTTATATTAGTAAATAACCTTTTTAGAACAACATTCAAGGTATTATACTCTCCAATACATGACTAACGTCTTATTATAATGAATACTCTCTAACGTCTTTCATTTGTATAATGTGAGTGAGAATTGGAGGGAATTAAAAAAAAATAGAAGAAAATTATTGTGGTTATATAAAAGACACCCTCATGGGGGGTGGGGGGGGGGTCTCTTCTGATATTCCACTTAACCATAGACACTCCTTAACTTTCTAAACTTAACCAAATTCATTGTTCGATTAAATTTTTATTTTTAATTTCTCCTTTTTAAGTGTCGGAGAATTCACAATTCCAGTTATCCGTATTTTTTTATTAAAGAAATTTGATTTAGTAAAATTAATGCTATGTACCACTTCCCCAAACAAAATATCAGATCTATTTGAGACAAGTTAAAAGGCTAACACAACTATGAAAAAAGGACTGCCTCTCATGCGTCAGTGTTCTTCTTTGGTAGTCCCCTGAACCTCCATACTATTTTCTCCCATAGCGTTCTGAGAAGTTTCGACATGCTCTTCCCCAGCAGTTATCTCAAGATTTAACATGTCTTTCAGCACTATAAGGAGGACTGGGAGATTCTTCTCAAGAATCGGTATGAGTCCCTTTTCTAGCTATTTGCCTTTGGGAGGTCAATTTCTCTTATCAAGACCCTAGCTTGTTTCTCCATGTCATCTTTTGCCTTCAAAATAGCTGATGTCAGCTAGGCATATGAATTTTTTCGGGATTTCACAATTTCAGCATAGATACTATACCATAGTACTTTCTGTCCGTACAACACCATGAAAATAGATATTTGAAAAGAAAAAAAGAACAAATACATTAACCTGATATTTGATAAAATAACTGAATGTATGCTAGCCACTAAAACTAACCAAGACAAGGTGCTAGTAGTTTTTGCAGCCAGTGTATGGCTAGGGATGGGTTTCACTGGCTTCTTATATAGCAGGTCCTAAATTCTCGTCTTTCTCTTATACGAATTTCTCAAAGCGAAAAACCGTGGGGTGATATTTTCGGCCTTTCCAAATTTGTCAGTTAACTTATCCGGAAAAAACTTCAAAATTTGGTTGTAAGGCATTGTACTTTCCTAGAGAAATACGGCTAGAAGTTGGGTTGTCGGAAATGTGTCCGGGAGTCGGAATGTTGGAACCATAATGGAGAACCAAAACCAGCTCTAAGTTAAAATGAGATGCATATGCCTAATTAGCTGTGAAGAATTTTGGATTTTGTGATGAACACACAACTCTAATTAAATACACAAACTTGTAAGTTTAATAGCCAAAAAGAACAAAGGAAAAAAGAATTTTTATGAGCTGAATTTGCTCCTTTTTTTCACTTTTTAAAATTTGATGAGCAAAGCTCATTTCTGTAGACCTCTATCTATTAATCCAAATATCATGGATTGTCTGTTTATTTTTCTAATGCATAACCATGACTAAAATCTTTAACGATGCAACCCAATGATAAAAGCAAATTGGACGTTGATTGGCCACGCACAAATTGATAAAAAGAGAGCAACTTTTTATTTAATTGAGGTACACAAAAATTATGAGATGAGGTATGTGCACCGTTAAAAGATCAAATACGCTTACACATGAAACTTAAACTCTTGCCAACACAAATAGAGTTGTCGAAGGTCAAAAAGTTGAGGAAACGTTGAGCAAGATCAACAATCATACTAGAGAAAATGTAAACATAGTTGTGATATTATATTTTCCACTACATTGTTACAATAGCTAAAATTATTGTTGCAGTAGCAAAATGTATCGTGGAAATAGCTACTAATAAGTGTTGCACAATCAAAAAGCGTTGCCATTGCCTCAACAATTGTTGGAGTTCTTGATTTGTCTCAGCCCACTATAAAATTCAGCAGGCCCAATAAGTGTGACCAGGACCAATTGCAGCCTTCTTGACCCATTAGACTTAGTTTAATTATTCATTCAA